AGCTGAGCTGAGCGAGGACTCTGCGTTGTGTGCGCAAGGCAGCAAGGATGATGGCCGTGGCCCAGGGCACATGACCCAGACTGTGTCTAGACTACACCTCTCTGGCGACAGAGAGATGTAAATTAGGCACGTCGATATTGCTAATGAAGCGGGGATTTAAATATCCGGTGCTTCATTAGCATAAACATGGCCGCCACTTTTTTCGAAACGGAGCTTTTTCGAAAAAAAACCCACACCCAGCAGTCTAGACACGGATCTTTCAAAAATACAACCCTTTTTCGAAAGAGCCTGTATTCCTCAAAAACTGAGGTTGACAGGATCTTTTGAAAAAAGGTTTATTTTTTGAAAGATCTGCGTCTAGACGGCCGGGGTTGTTGTTTTTTTTAAAAAGTTCCATTTTGAAAAAAAGCAGCAGCCGTGTTTATGCTAATGAAGCACAGGATATTTAAATCCCCGCTTCATTAGCAATTTCGACGTGCCTAATCTACGTCTCTCTGTCGATAGAGACGTGTAGACTAGACACAGTCTGAGTTGTGCCTAATCTACATCTCTCTGTCGCCAGAGACGTGTAGACTAGACACAGTCTGCGTCGTGTGCCCTGGGCAAGAGAGAGAAAACTTCACAAGTCCTTCCAGGCTGATCTAGGTGTGAGCCCACAACTAGGCCTCGCCGACTGTTTCGCTTTGCTTTGTAATTAATTTTGTGTTTTGTTTTGTAATCTTCCCCCGTCACTTAATCGGCTTTGTTTGCAGCACGGATCTTTCCACCTATCGGGGTAGTAAAACACGGGACCAGGTTAGTGAGAGAGGTTGGGGAATCCCCCGCACGGGAGGTTTTCACGAACAGATGAAGGAGCACGTCTCCGGGGATGGGTAGGTTTACCCAACCTCCATGCAGGATGGCCGCTCGAGGTCGCGTCTGGCTCTACATTCCGGGATCGCTCATTCGGGGCCTGTTGCCGGAAAACAACAGATGAATTTAGAAGTCTGCACTGTGCCATATGCCTAGTAGGTCTAGCCCACATCTGGAACAAATCCCAAAGCATGCTGGGATTGGAGGAAGGGGACCCAGGCGAGGTGTGCCACGTGCTGTTCCAGCACCAAGCATCAGCTCGTGTTTCTGGTGCATGTTTAGAGCTCTCTGTTTCATCGCAGCCCAGGACTTCTCAGTGTAACACGCTCGAGAGGCAGCTCTGAGGCTGACAAGACACCTGCCCGGAGCTGGGAGTGGCAGGCAAACCAGAATGCTGCCCCCGGAGCTGAACGGGGTCTGCCCCGAGGAGGAAGACGGCTACGTGGTGCATCCCAAGAGCTGCGACCTTGAAATGGTCCCCAACCTCAGACACAACAATAGGGGCTTCTGTAAGAGCAGGAGGAAGGCTCGTTTTGCCACCGACAATAATGAGAAGGTAAGTTTAGAGCTGTGGTCCCCAACACGGTGCCCGCGGGGGCATTTCAATGTGCCCGCCAGGTGCTCGGGGCTAGCCTGGCCCCGGGCACACGGCGCACGGGTGCTTGCGGAGGGAGCGCCGGCCCCGGGCACGCGGCACTCGGCGGGGTGGGGGAGTGCCGGC